TTGCTCCTGCCCAGCCAGGATTTGGTCAACCGTCCGAGAGTAGTATTTGAAGGAGGCTTCAGAAACCAATTTCCTACCTAGCTCCTTCCAATCGAAATTGTTACCCATTAACCTCGAGCCTGCCACGAGTTATTGGTACCCAATACTAACCCAGAACTACTGCTGTTTAAAATGTAAATTTAAACATTACTGATTTTTGGCTCTGCAAAGTGTCACACACAACTGAGCTTAGTAAATAAATGAACTAGTTAAAAAAATAACATCAGGGTGGTTCTTAAAAATACAACTATAAAACAGTTCCGAAGAATGAAAGGAAATATCGAAGTTTTCGGGGAAGTTCCACGAACAGACGGCGGGATGATAAGGGGAGCTCCAAGAACTTCTTTACAATTTCGGGAACTTCAGGGAAGCTTTGAGCACTTCAAGGCCTTTCCATCAGGTTCCGGAAAATTACAGCAACTTTGAGAAGTTTAAGGAACTTCAGGAATATTCCCTGAAGTTCTAGTTGGGCAAACTGTGAACTTGTGGACAATTGTGGAAGCTTTAAATAAATTCCTAAAACCTCAGGGAAGTTAGGTCTAGAGATCTTCCGGGAAGCTCATAGACCTTAAGGGTAGTGTCAATAACTTCAGGAAATTTAAAAATTCATGAAAGCTCAGAGTATTTCAAGGAAGTTTAAAGATTTTTAGGATAATTTAATTTATTTCTGGGTAGTTCCGGTAACTTCTAAAAAAAATTAAATAATTTTACGGAAGTATCCAAAAACTTCAGTAACCGAGAGCATCAAGGATGTCCAAATAAATTCAGAGAAATGTTGAGATTTTTAGGCAGTTCATTTTTTTTTCAGGGTTGTTCCTAGTACTGCAAGGAAGATTAGAGAACTTCAGAACAGTTCAAGATGTACCGAGGAACTATGAAAATTCCTAGAATTTTAGGAATGTTCCAGCGCAGACCATGAATATCAGAAAAAAATGATGGATCGTTATCTTTTGTTCCGAAAACTTCTAGAAAATTGAAGAAACGAAAACATCATACGAGTACGTGAAATTCAGAAAAGGTGGGAGATTTTAAAGGAAATTTCGAAAACTTCAGGGAAAAATTAACTTCAAGGCCGACCGGAAAATTGCGGGAATATTTAAAAAGTTCTTAGACGTTGAGAGACGTGGTTAAAATCCTTAAAAAAATGAGAGACGTTTATAGAGCTTTATTGAAGTTCAGAGAGCGTTCCAATAACTTCAGGGAAGCACCGAAAGCTTCAGAAAATTTTTCCAGGATCTTCAAATATCCTGCTGAATTAGTAATTTGTTTCCGCTTTTAAGACCTCATGAAAAAAAGTGCTGACCACAGCTTTATCATCGCCAACGTTTCGATCTTTATCAGGACTAGTTTTAGTTTTAGATTGCATATCATTTTTTGCTACACGGTTGACGGTACAACTTTATGTCTATTTAAGAAGGCCTTAGACCGAAACATCAGCCATTTAACATCGTAGTTCATTGATCCCCCTGAAAAGCCAAAACCCGAAAAAATCGTAGATATAAGTTTTATTGCGAGTTGATTGCAGACAAGTTTTATCAGTAGCCTAGTTTTAATTGGAGGGAATTGAATTTTATGTACATTCTATACAGGGAGCGCATGATGTGCAGACAAATAATGCGACACACGAAATGAGATGCAAAGCGTAGAGAAAAGCAAACCTATGGAACCCATGGATTGGAGCAGCAAATTAATATGGTGAGACCATTCCAAACACCTTCCACAATTATAAAAAAATAAATAAAAATAAATAAAAAAAACTAAATACGTGCCAGGTTCAAAAGAACATTTTGAAACTGGAAGTGTGTGTGTAATACTTATATCCTATTGATAGAGGTAATACATACATGCGGGGCTTATTGTAATTGAAAGTAACCTCGGAATGGGCGTGACTCTCCAGACATTCTGAAATGGGTTACTGGATCTGCAATAGAGCTATCACCTTCTAACTCCTGGACTAAAGCTGTCTACAATGATCATAAATGCGACATTGTAGGGAGAGTTCTTCTATAATACCACTGCCGGCCAGTGGGGGTTAGATGGAATACACACACACACACACACACACACACACACACACACACACACACACACACACACACACGCACACACACACACACACACACACACACACACACACACACACACACACACACACACACACACACACACACGCACACACACACACGCACACACACACACACACACACACACACACACACACACACACACACACACACACGCACACACACACGCACACACACACACACACACACACACACACACACACACACACACACACACACACACACACACAATCAGCCCATTGTTGCTGGTAGAAAATATATGAAATTAAAAAAAAAAAAAAAATTCCACAAATGTACACACTTAGAAAATAATACCGAAGTCGGTTTAATTTACTACCGAACTACATCGGTTACCAACAACGAACCGAAGAATTCGTGTAAAAATATGTTTTTAGGCGTATTTTCCGAGTCAAACCCAAATTTCGGTTAAATCTGACGGATAGGAATGAAGACTGAACCGAAAAGTACGGTAAAGTAGCGATATTTACCAGTTCGGTACTTGAAAACCGAAAAAAACTCGGTAAACTGAACCGAATATTCGCTAAACTTTCTCAAACGTCAAACTCACAACTTCGGTTCAACTTCACGACGGAAATTTTAACCGAAACTCGGTTTTTAGCTAAATAAACCAAACATCGTCAGCCATTTTTTCTCGCAGGTGCGCGTTGTGTTTTTTTCGCAAGACGTGTTTTTTCGTTAGTGTCACACGGTGAATTGATTTGAAAATGGAAAAACTTCTGGAGGAACTGCATGTTTGATTGAATTCCATGTAGGAGGCATTATCACGACATGTGAGAAGTTTTTTTTGATTCCCTCAAGGGGGTTAACCCTCTCTTTCCCCCCGCACAGAAGAGCCATAATTTTCCGGTTCGTCTCAAGTTTGTTGTCAATAGTTAGTACATACAAAGCATATTTATGCATTTAAACAACATCTGACAAATATAATATAAATCATGCATCTCATTAAAAAAAAAACTAGTTTTATTTCTGATTCGAAACATCGTAAGTTTTTGGATTTGAGCGCTGTCAAAAAGAACCGAATTCCGTGATTGCAACCGGTGAGTCGGTTTGTTTGACAGCGTTCGGTAATACTTGGGTAAACCGATGTTCGGTTATTCCCGCTTGAATTGACTTTTTGTCAACCGAGTTTTTTCGGTTAGTTTGACAGGTTGTGGGAAAAGAAACTTTAACGAACACTCGGTTGTTTCTTTTTGAACCGAACAGACTACCGAGCGTTGAGCAGATGAAAACTCGGTTGAAATTGAACCGAGTTCGGTACTATTTTCTAAGTGTGTATGCTTTTGCAAATTTTACAAAAAATTGATCTTTATACTAAAAGAATATAGAAATAAATATCCTGAATATTACTACATTTTAAATTCAAGCATTACTTTTTATTTGTTCATGTATTTTTCTCATCCTAAAAAGTTTTCTTCCAAATATATTCGCTGCGATTACAATACTTACCTTCACCAAATTGGGGAACACCAACTTTTGTTTATTTTGTTCGATAGGATACCAGTTTGACGGTTCGATAAGGTTTTTTTTGCTTCACACTCTTCGCCTTTCTACCTATTCTCTCTGGCGAATGAGAGTGCGAGAGGGTAACATAAATAAAAATAAACAGTGACTAGCAAATCCACTTGTAAGCAGTGTAATTAAATTCATCAAAATAATTGGAACAGTTTTCGAGTTCGTTATTCGAGGGATAGTTTGATCCGTGGTGCAAAACATTTTGTCTTGCTAAATACACATTCCGATTGGACCGTGGAAAGATTGTGCTGCGGTGAAACGTAACCTGCAAAGATAGGAGTGAAATTAGCAAACAATAAATGTAAGGTAAAATTAATTATAAAAATGAACTAAAACTAATAACAATAAATTTAGTTTCAAGCTGGGGTAAAATACAACACCGCTGTGGAAATTTGTTTTGAAAATTGGTCCGAACCCAGTGTGAACAGCAATAAAATGTAGTAGCAGAAGCATTTTTAAATCCGTAAACATCCGAAAATAATCAGACAAAGCGCTGATGAAAATATTCACACAACAAACACAAACATACACAACACCATTTTAATAATAAGAATATAGTCCATTACTGGCAATTATATTTTGAAGAGATGAACTAGCCGGCAAAAAAATCTCTGTGATAAAGATTAAAAAAAATCATCACGTTTGAACAGTATTACACCAGTTGAAAGTAAAAAAATGCATCAATATAATTTTGGCCAGCTTTTTGTAAGTAATGTCCGTGCGAGAGAATATAGATTTTGTCCATCCAGATCACTTCAAATTGGTTCATTTTTTTTCGTTACATTTCTTTATTGTTTAACTATTTTCACTAGATGCACTAAGCATCAAAAGAAATGCCAGATACATTCTCCGTCGAATGACATATTGCCTGAAATATTTCCCATAAATGGTTTTAAGAAATTTTGAAAACTACCCCATTTTCGTTACAAGCCTCATTTTAGATTTTGTAATGTGACCCCCAGTATAGTAAAGAAAGACTTAATCCTCCGTCAAAAGTAACAAGGACGAAGGTGTCTTACCTACTATCAATAATATTGATAGCCAAATTGTATATAATTTTGCTCTTGTTTTGATTTTCCCTTCTACACAGATGTCAATGGAACCTGATGTGAAACGGCTGACCTGTTAATAGCAAAAAAATTAATAAAATTGAAAATCAAAATATACCGATAATTCGAGCTCCGACACTACCCATAATAACTTAATTTTCAAAAATAGTGTTCATTCTTGTCCTTTCCATTCTTACCTTGAAAGTGAGCACCCACATACCGCATCCTATTCACACACAAAACGAACTTTGATCAAAGCTCTCATTCCCCCTCTGTTGGTATCTTCTCTTTCCAGCTCCGCTCCTACTGTTGCCGCTAATCGCCAATTTGCTCAATTTAGCTCTCAACTCATCACTACCATGATGTTCGTCGTCGTCGTCGTCATCACCGTCGTCTTTCGGTGGAACTTAGTCTTCTGGAAACATTCTAATCGAAGGAATCATCACCGGAAAAACACGTGCACGCATCCCAGTTCGGCTCCAATGTTTGGTGCGGAGAGGCGGAGAATTCAATCGCACCCCATCGCGTAATCAAAAAGCTCAAGCCTAATTCAATTGAACCGGCTGGAAAAGTTTACCCACATACAACTCACTAGCACTGTCACACACACACACGCAGACACACTTACACGCACACATGGATTCCTTCAAACACTCGTAAATATCAGACCAGCAAGCGTAGTCGTTGTTTGGTGGGAGATGGGGGGGAGTCTGGTTGGTTGGCTGTGGAAATGGGTGCCTACGTGAATTTCGGTTTCGGAACGTGATTTTCCCCCTTGTGAGCTAATTATTTGCATAATCATGGAAAAGTGGCTCAGTTTTGCGAGTGAGGCGGTTGGGGTAGAGGAGAACGGAATTTTCCATAGAAGGATATGTTTGTTGAAGCAGTTTGGTTTGTTATAATTTTTGTTTGGAATGTAGAGGAAATTAACGTAATAGGGTTAACGCCCCTAATGTTAGCCGATGGTAGCTGGGTTCATGCATAAATTTCGTCCAGATGAAGCATTGTTCTATGAAGAAGAGGAGATTTTTGTCGATGGGTCCAATCTATACATCCATAGGCCAACACTAGAGCCATTTTCGCTATGTTCTCGATTTGACGATAATAGCAATACACTTATAAATTTGTGTGGCAGAATTATAGTAAATCACATCACATCTAAAGCATGATTATTTTGTTCTTTCTCACATTAGTCACGAGAAATTTCTAAAGGCGTAGGTCACTCAGCACATGAGTAACTTACGCTTTTAGAAATTTCTCCGTACGAATGAGTAAAAGTGACTCACTCTGTGATTCGTTTTCAGTGTATGAGCATTATACTGATGCAAAGTTTCGCTCCACAGTTCTCAAGTGGCTTCAAATCGGGCCCTGATTAGCCTTACAAAATTTGAGCATCAGTATAATGAGCATGTGTGTTTATTGAATTAAGCTCTGCTTAAAATTTGCAATAAATATAGCTTGTATTTTTTACACAAAAAATTAATCTTACTCATATATGAGTCCCATTCAGGGCTGAATTCTGGGTCACATAATTGTTATCCAAGCAGTTCATGACGTAGATGTTTCTCCAATTTAACGGCTCCATGTAATTGTTTTGGTCAAGTTATTTAATTTCGTTTCAAAAATAGCTAATAACAAAATCTGCACATGTTTGTCACTGACAGCATTGTCACTGACAATTGACATGACTCAAATGGGTGACCAAGGGCCTTATTACGGGTGTCAGTACACGGTGATAAGAAAGTGATACTCATAATAAGAGCCATGATTGCCGTACATCAAATGGGAATCACTTCACCGTGACGACAAGTGACAAGTTTTCACCGTGAAGTGACATCCGTAATAAGGCCCCAAAGCAAAATTTTGAATATCGCCGTGTATTGTCGAGATTTTGCAGCACTGGTCCCATTCAGTCACATTTTTCAAAAACGTAGGTCACTCATAGAATGCGCAAATTTCACTCATATGTGAGTAAATGTCATTCAAATATGACTGTTATTCACTCATGTTTGAGTAAAAATTTAGTCATTGAGTGACCTACGCAGATAAATTTGCCGTGTACTTCTAATTTTCTTCAATTTTCATTTTGTGTATACCTCAAATAAAAACCCACAATCAACTGAAATCAAGAAAGAAAATTTTCCACGACTATTCCGCAGAATTCGACAAAAAGAATAAATAAAAAGAAACAAAAGAAGTTAATGTACACTCATTCACGTGTGCAGAACCGCTCTATCCCCCCCAACAACCCCTCTTCAACTTTTGTATGTATAACCAAACAGATCCACCAGCGACAAAGACGGCTACCACTAGCGCAAAAAGAACAACAAGAAGAAAACGCAGCCAGCAAAAGTTTTTAATAAACTCGAAAGAGAAAATAAGCTTGATGTACAAAATAACAGATTGTAAATATTGATTCGTATCCTAGAGAAAAAGCGAGACAGCGAGAGCAGCCAAAGAAAAATAAAACGGACGGCGTAAAGCCGAGAACGGGAAAGTTTTAAACATAAATAGATGTGTTTTACTTACTGGGAAATGTTTTTTCGTCCCTCCCTATTGGATGTTTACTTGGTGAGTGAAGAGTGCGGGGTGTGAAGTCCTATTTGTTTCCTAGAGGAAAGTATGTGAAACTGACGGTGGAAGGAAGGAGTGAGTGTGTGTGTGAAAAATTCGCAACTTTTATTTTCCACCGGAAAGAAATCCCTCAAATGATGAAATGAAAAAAGAAAACTTCTAAAGATGTGACAGGTAAGTCCTGGGGGAAGAAGGGAGGAGTGGTTGGGTGAAATTAGAATGTGACATTTGGAAAAAGTTTGTCGACGGCGTTTGATTGAATGCCTGCTATTTTGGGGTCGTATGAAAATGCTGCTTCAAGTTCGATCGTTGAAAAAATGCCTTTTCTGTACGTCAGTTCATCAGTTCCGGTTCATTATCGAACAGATAGGAAATTTGGCTTTCGGGTGATTTGCTTGTCCTATTAATGTAAATTTATAAGACTCAAAAAAGTAACTTATTTTTGTGCGAAAACGCAAACAAAGAAATCATTTCAAGCTGAACATTGCATTAGGTCCTTAGTAACATGGATCGATTCTTTTCGTTGACTTTCTCTTTCATTGACAATTTAAGCACACAACCGTTTCGTATTAGATAAAAACTTTTTTCAACGATCTGTGTGCTGAAAATACCTGGGAATGTCTTTAAATGGCCGTGGGGATGCAAAGAGAAAGCCGACGAAGAGAATCTGTCAATGTTACTTTGGACCAAATGCAATGTTCAGCTTGATTTGTTAGCATTATTGAGACTCTCCCAAACAAAAGATCAAATCTTGAAAGCTTTTACTGAGCAACCTCCGTTAGAAAGTGAGCACTCCAACGCCTACATATTACCCAATTTCTTATCAATTTAGCCTGTCAGCCAATAGTCGCATTTTCCATCTCTTTTGAGATAACCTCATGTATGGTGCTGATTGTGAGTCTCCCCGCATAAATGCGAATCATTGCTTGAACTTTAACTGAAATGGTAATGCAACTTTACATGAACGTTTGTGTGATAAAGTTTTAACGTTATGTATTATGGTTTTTTGGTAATTAACCTTACAAATAATGGGTTGTTAAGAACCATTACCATTCAAAATAGTTGTTTTCTCCATACTTTATGGAAATATGACAATGTTAATGTTAATGGTTATGGTAGTCAGTTAGGTCCATGGATGGTTTTGTAACACCGATCAACTTTATGTGGAAACGGCGCCGGTGGTGTAGTGGTAAGCGTGATTACCTCTCACCCTAGCAGGCCTGGGTTCAATCCCAGTCGGCGCCGCCGGGATGTTCTGAGGCATAACATCTCTGATCACGCCTTCCTTCGGATGGGAAGTAAAGCCGTTGCAACGATGCAGTCGATGGTGTGTTATAACGAAATGCTGGAAATGCTCTCGCGACGTGGGGCTTTAGGTAGTGATGAAAACGTCGCTAGAACTATTCCACAGCCGCAGTCAGTTTATGAGCAACAAGAGGGACGCACATTTTTGCCTGTGGACTTGGAGACATACTTCAAGTCCCCGCGTACATCGTACGGGCTAGGCAAAAATGTGCGTCATCTTGAAAAACTGTCGCTTTAATGGCCCTTCGCTCATTTTCAACTTCTATTCAATTTTCATACTGCCGTACTCTAACGGAACTATCCACCTACATTCTTCTAAAAGATCATTCTCTAGCTAATAAATCATCACACTAAAGCTTCATGTTAGCATTTCCAACCAACTCTGAAAATCGTTAACTTCGCGTATGAAGTAACATAAAAAAACACTTTGAAGGTTTTTTAAACCTGCATGTCAGTATAACAATTGATAGCTTAAAACTAAATAACTAAAACTAAATCTTATCTAAGTATAAAGGGAATTAATCGTTGCAATTGAGGATTGTAACGATTTTTGCCGGAAATTATTAATTATTTTGTTGGACATTTGTGCTAAAGTCTCAACATTCGAAATTCTATGTACTTCGGTAGTACTGTACCAGGGAGGCAACTTCAAAATCAACTTCAGAATTTTGTTCTGAATCCTTTGAAGTGCTTTTTTCCTGGTAGTGCAACAACTAGACCATATTGGCACAGCGTAAAGCATGGCCGGTCTAAAAACTTGTTTAAATATTAGAAGTTTATTCGTCAGGCAAAGTTTGGATTTCCTGTTTATAAGAGGATACAAACATTTTATATATTTGTTACATTTGGCTTGAATGCCCTCAATGTGATCTTTAAAAGTTAATTTATGGTCAAGTATTAATCCAAGATATTTCACTTGGTTTGACCAGGAAATTGGAACTCCGTTCATAGTGACTATGTGACTACTACTAGGTTTCAAAAACGAAGCTCTAGGCTTATGTGGAAATATTATAAGTTGAGTTTTGGAAGCGTTGGGAGAAATCTTCCATTTTTGTAAATAAGAAGAGAAAATATCTAAACTTTTCTGAAGTCTGCTGCAAATAACACGAAGACTTCTTCCTTTAGCGGAAATGCCTGTGTCATCAGCGAACAAAGATTTGTGGCAACCCTGAGGCAAATCAGGGAGGTCCGAAGTGAAAATGTTATACAATATAGGCCCAAGAATGCTACCCTGAGGAACTCCTGCTCTAACAGGTAGTCGATTAGATTTGGAATTTTGATAATTTACTTGCAGAGTTCTGTCAGTTAAATAATTTTGAACTAATTTCATAATATAAAGTGGAAAATTAAACTTTTTCAATTTAGCAATCAAACCTTCATGCCAAACACTGTCGAATGCTTTTTCTATGTCTAGAAGAGCAACTCCAGTTGAGTGGCCTTCAGATTTGTTTGAACGAATTAAATTGGTAACTCTCAAGAGTTGATGAGTAGTTGAATGCCCATGGCGAAATCCAAACTGCTCATTTGCAAAAATTGAGTTCGTATTGATGTGAAGCATCATTCTATTCAAAATTATTTTTTCAAAAAGTTTACTTATTGAAGAAAGCAAACTTATTGGACGGTAGCTAGAAGCTTCAGCTGGATTTTTATCCGGCTTCAAAATTGGAACAACTTTTGCATTTTTCCATTTATCAGGAAAGTATGCCAAATGGAAACATCTGTTAAATAATTTTACCAGGAAAGACAAGGTACTCTCTGGGAGTTTTTTGATGAGGAT